TATCAAGAAGACACAAGAGCCAACCTGAAAGATCCCTTAACATAGCACTGGCTCCGAACCCAAGTACAAAATAAACATACATAAACCCATGCTGATAAGTAAATGATTGAATAAATAAATGGAGGAAAAAGAGACAAATCCTTAGAAGAATTCCAAATAATATAGGGAGGTACTCCCTCTAACTAGGAGGTGGAGCCTAATTTCTCCCCACCCTCACCTCCACCCCTACATTGTAGGCTGAGTTCAGTAATTGCTTTCAAAAAACAAAAATTTGGAAAGGAAACTTCATAATAGAGGAACCTAGCAAATACTACCTTAACCAAAGGATCTAAGTTAATATTCACAGTGATTAGCCATGGTGATCTAAAAGAAACTAAAAAACCCACAGATCAAAGAAGACTGGGAAGACATATTAACTAGACACATTGTTATACCCTAGAGACAAGATACTGAGACAAAAAAGAGGCATTAGAACCCAGTCTAGGCCGGTGCCGCGGCTCAATAGGCTAATCCTCCGCCTAGCGGTGCCGGCACACCGGGTTCTACTCCCGGTTGGGGCGCCGGATTCTTTCCTGGTCGCCCCTCTTCCAGGCCAGCTCTCTGCTGTGGCCCGGGAAGGCAGTGGAGGATGGTCCAAGTGCTAGGGCCCTGCACCCCATGGGAGACCAGGATAAGTACCTGGCTCCTGCCTTCGGATCAGCGCGGTGCACCGGCCACAGCACGCCAGCCGTGGCAGCCATTGGAGGGTGAACCAACGGCAAAAAAGAAGACCTTTCTCTCTGTCTCTCTCTCACTATCCACTCTGCCTGTCAAAAAAAGAAAAGAAAAAAAAAAAAAAACCCAGTCTAATTATGAGAAAAATATCAGACAAGTCCTAAGAAATACCTGACCTGTAATCAAATGTAAAGGTCATCAGAAACAAAGAAAGTTTTACAAATTGTCACACCTAAGAAGAGTCTTAGGAAGCATAACTACTAAATGTATTAAGTTTTCCTTGATGGAATTTTAGACAAGAAAAGGGACACTGAGTAGAAGCTAAGGAAATCTGAATAAAGCATGGAATTTGGTTAATAATAATTTATCATTATACATTCCTTAATTATAACAAATGTAACATATTCAGATAAGATGTTAATAACAGAAGAAATGGGATCTGGAGTATACTAGGTAAATTTCTATTTTTGTGATAATTTTATAAATTTAAAACTGTTCTAAAAATTGTTATTCATTAAAAAAAAAGATGGTGGAAACACTGGTGAAATCTGAATAAATTTCATTGCTAGTAGTAACATATCTGTATTAGTTCTTGGCTTTGACCATGTACCAGGACAAATATACTATGGTCATACAAGATGTCAACATCAAGAAAAACTGGGTAAAACATTTATGAGAACTCTGTGAATTACCTCTGAAGTTTCCTGTAAATATAAGATCGTCTATTTTTTAAAGAAAAAAATACTTTAACACTTCTTACAAGATAATCAAGTGACTAACAGGATATGAAAAAGGTTCATCATAAAAATGCAATTTAAAAACAAGACAAGAAAGTCCCACGTATCCATTAGAATAACTAAAATTAAAGATTAAACTCTAAAGTGAAACCGACAAATCCTAGGATACAAGTTAACAAAGTTCACTCAAGAAGTAGATAACTTGGGTCCGATATGGCAGTATGAACTGTGAGGAGTTCACCAAGTTCCAGGAATTACTCGAGGTGATGAGGACAATTGATGACAGAATAGTTGACGAATTAAACACTACACTTCCAGCAGCTTCCCTTGCAGGGAAAATGGATGCCAGCCAAACCTGTAAGCAACTTACGAGTCTTTGATGGCAGCTCATGCTAGTAGGGACAGAGTCATTAAAAAAAAACTATATAGCCCAGACTTCAGAAGTAGTAAGAGAGAGAGAAGAATTTGGATAATTTAACATTATTAAAGCAACTTAGAAAAGAGTAGCCAAAGCTGACATGGATACAGTCAGGACTAAATGCTGGAGAAATGGTAAATGACAGGAGCTGGAAGGTGTTTAATGAACACTGCCAAATTCACTTCAAGCCCCCAAAGAATGAATAAAGAAAGAAAGATGAAAATTTTTTAAGGGCCTGGTCATCTCATGATAGCTAAGCATGACAGACATCAACAGGGCGGGCTTCCTAGGATGATTTCTGAGCCAACAGTCCAAGACATTTTGTTGATTTCAGCTCCACTTAGCCAAGAACTGAAGCATAAATAATTATGTTAACTATGGAGAAGATACCTGCTATTTTATAACAATTCTGTAAAAGAGATGTTTTGTAATTATTAAAATATTTTTGATTCAAAAAAGTAGATAACTTGAAAACCCTATAACTACTAAAGAAACTGAATTTCTACTTCAAAACTTTCCCACAAAGAAAGGACCAAGCCCAGATAACTTCAATGGCAAATTCTACTAACGTTTAAGAAACAATTCCAATTCTTTACATAGTCTTTCAGAAAACAGAAAGCAAAACTTCCCAACAGTGAATTGAGGCCAGTATTATCCTGACAAAAACATCAGATTACCAAGGAAACAAAACTACAGACCAATATCCTTCATGAATATTTAAACATATCTACTACACACACGTGTGTGTATAATTTTTTAAAATTTTAACAAACTGAATCCAGTAACATGCATAAAAAGTATAATCTATCATGACCAAGAAGGCTTTCCCTAGGAATGCAAATATCAAGCAATGTATGTCACTGAAATACTGAAACAGAAAAACACACAATTATGCCAAGAAAGCCCATTTGACAAAATCTAAAACACATAGTAAAACCTCAAGATGACAAGAGCAGATATTTCATATGAAATATAATTAAATGCCAAAGAAATAGCTGGGCATTAGTATAATGTGAGACGATGCCACGCCTTTGAGAGTCATCAACTATAAATCCAATTTCTTTGAACTACTCAGAAATAAATAAGAAGTTGCATTTGAAAATAATCTGATTTCTTTCAATATCAAAGAAAGCTTCTCACTGTATTTTTACTTAGGCCAAAATTAAATTAAATTAATTCTTATATGTTGGGTTGCAGTATGATTTACATGTAGATGGCATTATTCCCCAAGAGGAGACAAGTAAAACTAATTCTCTATCTCAGTCAGTCAAATTATTCTAAAAAAGTTGCTTCTCTTCTTTAAGTCTCCCTTTTCTGTCCTATTATAGAAGGACATATTAGATTCATTCTTAGATTCAACAAATGTTTGTTGACTACTCACTATGTATCAAATACTTTTTTAGATGCTGAGGTTATGGCAAGGAAAAAAGAGAATGACAAGAATTGCTCCTTTCATACAGATTAGACGGAGAAATACATAAAATATACACCATGTTAAAAGGTATAAGTACCAAACAGAAAAATAAAGCAGGAAAGGGGAGAGAATGTACCGGTGGGGCGGGGAGAAACTGATTTTAAATGGGGATAATAGGGAAGTAGATGATTTTTAGGTTCACTTTCAGTTCAACACCCAGTGATTTTCTTCTGTGTTCAACAGGCAACATAAAAACACACAGTGAACCTCTGAACCTGACCTCTTTAAACTCATACATTCTATCACCTTGCTCTATGTGTCACCACTTATATTTTAGAAAAACAGGATTAAACATACATTTTTCCATACTGAGACAAAGCATGTGCTGTCATTTAATAAAACAAGCAATTTCCCAGTCTTGCCTTGGGAGAGGAAAATAAGAAAAATAAAACCTAGCAATTTCTAACCAGACAAAAGTTCTAAAAATGTAGCATTTTTGTACACTACAGAAAGGATTAAAATCAGCTATTTTTTTTTCTCTCTGACAATATATTTATGATCTGGAATTTGGTCCTTTATTGGGCTTATGTTATAATAAAAGGTGATTTAATGGTATCTTAGGAATGAAATATTTTGCATAGACAAGGAAAGTCATATGAATAAGAAATACTGTTAACGTTATTGCAGCCACCACATTTTGTATGCCTGTTATTTGCCAGGTCAACATTACTAAATATTGGACTGAACTATATTAAATTGTTATTTATAGGTCAAAATCAGCAATTTTATATAGTGTGAACTAATCCATTTCCAGTTCTAGGACAGAGAATTCTGTAGGTTAATTCTGTTGCTACAATTCTCTACTTGGGCAAATCTTCAATGGAACAAAAAGCTTTTGCTTGGGAATGTAAAGACCCCCAGCCACGCTGACAGTGGCACAAATGACAAATGGAAGATGCTACCTATTTGATTCAGGCAAACAAACACTTAAGTTTATCTAGAACTTAACTAGAAGATCTGAATTTTAAGTATCATAATCTGTAGCACAAACTTCATCAAAAGCTATTCATAGCCATTTGGCTTCTTTTAAGAAAAAGTTCAACTTATTAGTCATATCCACTACTGTGCATACAAAGACAGAGTCATCATTCTAAAATTGACATTTTTTTTCTTTACTAGGAAGAGTACAAAGCAACCCAAAATTATACTAATATTATAAGTCTGTTCACTTGGGTTGGAATTTCGATTTCTTTGGAAATGCCTCACTAACACAGTATTTCCCAAAAGAGAACCTTACCCACAACCCAGTCTAGTATGCTCAGTCCAAGTAATTTTTAAGTTCATTTCTTAGAAGTAGATTGGTCCCTGAAGTTTATTTTTGTTCTTTCTGGCAGCTATTTTTCCTTCACTATACAGTTCATGTTTAGAGTTCACATTTATAAGACATTAATAAAATAGCCTGTTAATTATCTTCTAAGAAACTGTATGGATTTTAAAGTCTCATCTAGCAGAATAATCAGGCACTTTGTATGTTACAGTATTAGCAGATGGGGAAGCTTATTTCCAACATCTAAATGCCAACAGAAACATTCAGTGAAACATTATTAAGAAAAATAATAATAAATATCTAGTTATTTGAAAAAAATTAATCCAAGAAGAATATGATAATCCCTTTTAGTGCAAAAGGAGTTTAAACAGGCAAACACTGAAAACCTACCAGCCCATTGCTTGTAGAGGTGAGTCTTAGTTTTTCTTCAATCTCCTTTCCAATTTTCTGAACAGTTACCTGAGTCTGTTTAATTGCACACTGGGCTCTATGAAGCCTAAAAATAACAAATTGGAAAGAAATTTAAGTGAATTAACCATGAACTCAACATACAGTGACAAACCTCCCAGGATAGACAGTATTAATGACGAACCCACACTGATTGTTTCTCAATTGCCTAGCATATTTACAATGAAATAACAGAGATTACAATAAATCCTAAAACAATATAGCCCTAAATGAGCCTTTCTTTACTTGCCTGCCTGCCTCTGATGTACTCAACTAGGATGAAGAACTCCCAGGAGTCTGGAAGAACCCTTAGAAAACAGCCTGGTTAAATCTTTCCATTTACATATGGGAGCTGAGGCCCAGGGGAATCAAGTGGATTGCTAAAGTCACAGAGAGAGTTAATCACGGGTATCCCTAAAGAAAAACAATATTCATAATAATTCACAAAGTTCAGAAGGTTCAATCAAAGCAGTCAGCACCCTGAAACATGTAAGAAAAATGCAAACGAAAGAAGGTATGCAAGACAAAGGCACAGGTCTTGAACACTGGACTGGTTAAGGAGCAATGACATTCTCACTGAAGAAATACAGAGCTACTTTTCTTTGTGTTTTAGCTTTGATTTTGTGAGACTTTTGCTTTTTGGTCTCTGCCAAGTAGATTTACATTATAGGGTATAATTCAGTGTGGTTATTATCTCTTATTTCATGGATATTTGCATTATTTTCTATAAACATTCTTATATATAGAATTATATACAAAAAAATTATAGACAAAAACATTATGTTGAGTGAAAAAAAATGCCAGAAGCAAAAAAAAAATTACATACTGTATGATTCCACTTATACAAACTTCAACAGGTAAAACCTATCACTGGTGACAAGCCTACTGGGTACAGACTGACTCACAGAGTGGGGAAACAAAGGAATTCCCTGAACTGATGGAATTATTCTCCATCATTTTTTTTTTTAAGATTTATTTTCTTCATTTGAAAGGCAGAGTTATAGAGAGAGGGAGAGACAGGGAGATCTTTCATCCACTAGTTCACTCCCCAAGTAGCTGCAGCAACTAGGTCTGGACCAGGTGGAAGCCAGGAGCCTGGAGCTCCATCTGGGTCTCCCACATGGGTGGCAGGGGCCAAGCACTTCAGCGGCTTTCCCAGGCACATGAGCAGAGAGCTGGGTAGGACTGTGGAGCAGCTGGGACTCAAACCAGTGATCACATGAGAAGCTGGCATCACAGGTGGAGGCTTACCCCGCTGTTCCACAACACCGGCCCTCATGACCTATACCTTGACTGGGGTGAAAAGTACGCCAAACTCATGGAATTCACACTTATGATCTACATATTTCACTGTGTATAAATTCTACCTCAGTATTTACAAACTGGTCATCATCAGTCCTAACCTAAAAATCATCACATATGTGGGCGGTGCATCTTATTAAGGATTTGATGGCATCAGTATTTCTGTCAACTTGATTATTATTATGACACTACACACTAAAAATACTCACGACTTCTTTTTGCACTTTTGGAAATTGCCTGATAGCTGAGGATTTCTTAGGTCTTCTAAAAGGGACCAACTCTTATTAAAGGTACTTTGCTCATGAGATCAGTAATTCAACAACTGCTCCAGGGCTCCTAAGGAATCCAGAGCAGACAATCCTATGCTTCTTGCTCTGGGTGTGCACATGTGTATGGCAGCCCTAAAGAAATTCTAAGGAAGGCTCTATGATTTGGTCCCTGCCTACATCTCCAAGTATCATTTCTGATATTCTTTACCTTGAACTCTCAATTCTAGCAATATTGAACTATTGGCAGTTCTCCAAATATATTGCGCCACTTCTTGCTTCTGTACCTCTGTATGAGCTGTTCTGCCTGCAAGTTCTCTCTGTCCTTTAACAGGTTAGTCAACTCCTACTCCGCTAAGAGGCAGCTCGAGCATAGCCTCTACTTCAAAAGCCTTCCCTGACTGTCGCAGACAGGGAGAGGCAGACCTCCCTCTGGAAATCTACCAGACCATGTATGTGACACCACAACAAATACAAGAGTACTTTAAAAAGTTTGTGGAAAATGGAAAGATACATGTACCTTTGTACCAAGCTAAGTACCTTTTGAAGTACTCTGACATCACTTAACCACATTTTATAGCAACTCTTTATTTCCTTGTTTATTTCCTCAATAGGTATTTCTGAGGGGAAAAAAAAAATCTGACCTTCCCCTATGTATTCTAAATGCTAATTAGCATAGAATGTGGCACAAAGGAGGCACTCAAAATACATTTGCTCAGTGAATGTCTAATGTCTGAATATAACAGCATAGTCTCAAGATTTGTATTTTTGATTGACATCAATGGGAGATTAACTGATAGACCAACATGACAGTTTCCCATATTTACAACTTTAAAATATTATACCAAAAGTAGTCAGTGCATAACTACATAATATCTCCTGACATTTGTCCAGGTACAAAACAAGTAATTTTAACTCAATTCTAAAAACGATAGGCATTATCAAGCCAGAGAACAGAGCAACAAAATAGCCTGTGACTTTAAAAGAAGGAAAGTGCTGCCTAAAACTTCGCTGGTACTATGCAAACAACCTTGTCAAACGGTAAAGACTTTAAAAATAAAAATGATTCATGACCATAATTAATGTATGACTTCAACTATTTGGCTCTCACTGGCCCAGACGCTTTCTGATCTTACCTTAGGGGCTTAAAACACACAGACAGAGTCACATTTCCTCCAATCTTCAGTGTTATCCAAATAGACTTTCAGAGCCCCTGCTACATCAAGACAGAGCTAATAATGTCCCCCTTTCAAATCCAACAGGAGAATAAAAGTTTGAAGTGTTTAGGCTTTTAAAAATAACGAAGGACATCCTAATTCCCCAGGGGGTAAGGACTGACAAGAAAAGAAACTGCTTTACCTCCTAACTAGTTGGCCAGTTTCAGAGGAAAGTTTCTTGATTTTGCAAACTATGCAAAGAATCTATAAAGAGAGAAATATATACCATCTGGGTATATGGGTGACTGGTCAATATCAACACTAACACTCCCAAGCTGAAACAAAAATCATCACAGGTGTTGGGAAAGACAGATTAAGCAAACGTCTGACAGGTACTCTGGTGACAGCAAACAGATGCATCCCTAGTACTTAACACAATTTGAGATAATACACTGAGCTTTAAGAAAGTTCTTTGAGGTTAGACACCACTGGGAATGTAAAGATCTAGTGAATAAAAGGTATTATACCATGTAAATATTCATAAAGATTAGTTGAGACCATATGAATCAGATATGAACAATACAGTAAAGGAGACATTAGAAGACAATTTCTGTCTAGTTAGTGTTGATCATACCATATCTGAAGTGCTACATTCACATTTAAGATGGAGAATGACAAATTGGAACACCTAGAAAGAAGGTGAAGAATAGTTCCCTCAAGCTTGCAGAGAGAAGAAAATACAGGAAAGATGGGTCTACTTGAGACAAACGCTAAGATACCTTATCATCAACAGCTTTTCACTCCATGTGGAGAAGGAAACCATGAAAAAGTTTTAGGCTAGAAAATAATATTTGTATTTTAGATAGACCTTTCTTCTTATAGTAAGGTGAATGGGACACACAGAAAAAAAGACTGCAAATAGTCTATGAGGTTACTGCCATAGCCCAAGCAACAGAGAATATTGTCCTAAATTAAAACAGTGACAGTACAGGGTAAAGACATGAAAAGTGAGAGAGGGAAGAGATATAAAGAATGATAGGGTGTGCTGGAGCTATGGTGCAGCAGGTTAAGCCACCCCTTGAGATATTAGTATCTTATACCAGAGTGCTGGCTTGAGTCCAGGCTGCTTTGCTTCCAATCCAGCTTCCTGCTAATGAGCCTGGGAAGGCAGTGGAAGATGGCCCAAGTGCTTGAGCTCCTGCCATTCACATGCGGAACCTGGATGGAATTCCTGACTCCTGGCTTCCACTTGGTCCAGCCCTGGCTGTAGCAGCCATTTGGGGAATGAACAAGTAGATGGTAGATCTCTCTCTCTCCCTCTCTGTGTGTCATTCTGCCTTTCAAATATGTAAATAAATCTTTAAAAAAAAAAAAGCAGAAAATAATATGGGAAAGGCATTTGCCTTTCAAATGTGTAAAATAAAATAAATCTTAAAAAAAAGAAGAAGATTATGGGACAGGCATTTGGCCTAGTGGTTAAAAGACCACCTGCATCCTGTATCAGAGTACCTGGGCTCACGTCCTGGCTATGCTCCTGACTGAATCAACAGAACCAGAAAATAGGAGCTCATTTTCTATTTCTCTCTCAAATAAATAAATAGAAAATTTTAAAAAGAATCATGCCTGGCCGGCGCCGTGGCTCAATAGGCTAATCCTCCACCTTGCGGCGCCGGCACACCGGGTTCTAGTCCCGGTTGGGGCGCCGGATTCTGTCCCGGTTGCCCCTCTTCCAGGCCAGCTCTCTGCTATGGCCAGGGAGTGCAGTGGAGGATGGCCCAGGTGCTTGGGCCCTGCACCCCATGGGAGACCAGGAAAAAGCACCTGGCTCCTGGCTCCTGCCAGGATCAGCGCGGTGCGCCGGCTGCAGCGGCGACCATTGGAGGGTGAACCAACGGCAAAGGAAGACCTTTCTCTCTCTGTCTCTCTCTCTCACTGTCCACTCTGCCCTGTCAAAAGAGGACAAAAGATGACCACTAAAAAAGAATCATGCCTGAAAACAAAATTACCAACATCAAGATGAAAAAGAAGACACCACAATAGATCCTACCAACATTTAAAAGACATTAAGGGGAAATTACGAAAACACTGTACCAGTAAATACAACTTAGAAGAAATAGTCAAACTGCTTAAAAACCACAAGTTTCCAAAACAAAATAAATAGAAAATATGATTAATCATTATTTATTAAGGAAATGAAATTTGCAATTCAAACACTTCTCACAAAGAAGACGCAAGGCCAGGATGGTTTCACCAGTAAAATACCAGTTGCATCAAAAATCTCTCAGAGAAGAAGAAGAAATACTTTTCAATTTGTTTTATGAGTA